CATTACTTGTTATTGATTTATTCACATTTTGCATTTCTTCCTGGTTCAGTCTTGGTAGTTGTGTGTCTAGGAATTTCTCCTTTTCTTCTAGGTTTTCCAATTTATTGGCATAGAGTTGCCTGTAGTCATCTCTAACGATCCTTTGGATTTCTGCAGCATCAGTTGTAATGTCTCCTTTTTCATCTCTGATTTTATTTATTTGCATCTTCTCTCTTTTTTTTCTTAGTCTAGCTAAATGTGTGTCAATTTTGTTTATCTTTTCAAAAAAACTAACGTTTTGTTTCATTGATTTTTTTTGTATTTTTTTGGTTTCAATTTCATTTATTTCTGCTCTGATCTTTATTATTTCTTTTCTTCTACTAATTTTGGGTTTGGTTTGCTCTTGTCATTAGGTTATTTGAAACCTTTCTACTCTTTTGATATAGGCACTTACTGTTATAAACTTTCCTCTCATTGCTGCTTTTTCTGTATCCAACAGGTTTTGATATGTTGTGTTTTCATTTTCACTTGTTTTGAGAAATTTTTAAATCTCCTTAATCTCTTCATTGACCCACTGGTCATTCTGGAACATGTTTCTTTATCTTTCTGTGTTTTTCAGTGTTCCTGTTGTTATCGATTTCTAGTTTTATTCCATTGCATTCAGAGAAAATACTTGATATGATTCCATTTTTTTGGTGTCCTCTTGAATTTTTAAGACTTGTTTTCTGGCCTAATGTATGGTCTGTCCTTGAGAATGATCAACAAGCTGAGGAGAAGAATGTGTATTCTGTAGCTCTTGGATGAAGCATTCTGTAAATATCTATTAGGTCCATTTGGTCTGTAGCACAGATTACGTCCAATGTTTCATTGTTGATTTTCTGTCTGGATGAAATGTCCGGTGCAGAAAGTGGAGTGCTGAGGTCTCCAGCGATTATTGTATTGGGTCCAGCTCTCTCTGGGTCTAGCTCTCTCTTTATCTCTGATAATATTTGCTTTGTATCTGGGTGCTCCAGTGTTGAGTGTATATATGTATTTAGAATTATTATAGCCTCTTGCTGAATTGACCCTTTTATCATTATATAATGACCTTCTTTGTCTCTTTTTACAGTTTCTTTCTTGAAATCTATTTTACCTAATGGTAGTATAGTATAGCTACTCCTGCTCTTTTTTTGGTTTCCATTTGAATGGAATATCTTTTTCCATCCCTTTATTTTCAGTCTGTGTATGTTTTTGTAGGTTAAGTGTGTCTCTTGCAGACAACATATGGTTCGCTCTTGTTTTTTTAATCCATTCGGACACTAGTTTTTGATTGGAGAGTTTAGTCCATTCACGTTCAACGTTATCATTGATAGGTAAGGGCTACTGTCATGTTGTCACTTGATTTCTGGTTGTTTTGTAGTTCTCACTTTCTTCCTTACTTCCTTTCTGTCTTCCTTTGTTAAAAGTGATCTTCTTTCATGTTTTTTAATTACTTTTTTGTGTGTGTATGTGTTGTAGGTTTTTTGATTTGAGGTTACCATGAGGCTTGCAAAAAACATTTTATAACCAATTATTTTAAGCATATGACAACTTAGCTTACAAAAAAATAAGCAAAGAGAAATCTAACAGAAATTCTACCCTTTAACTCCATCCCCCTGCTGCTTTTTAAGTTTTTGTTATTTCCATCCATATATTTTTATACTATCTTTCAAAAAGTTGTAGTTATTTTTAATAGGCTTGTCTTTTAATTTATGTACTGAAAGTATGGCAGTAGAGTATTCTGTGTTTGTATACTTACTGTTGTCAGCGAGTACTTACCTTCAGATGATTTCTTATTGCTCATTTGTGTCGGTTTCTTTCATATCAAAGAACTCCTTTTAGCATTTCTTGTAGGACAGATTTGGTGTTGATGAAATCTCTCAGCTTTTGTTTGTCTGGGAACGTCTTTATTTCTCCTTCATGTTCGAAGGATAGTTTTGCAGGACATGATATTCTAGGGTTAAGGTCTTTTTCTTCAGCACTTCGAATATGTCATGCTGTAAGGTCTCCACTTAGAAGTCTGCTGCCACATGTATTGGAGCTCCTTTATATGTCATCTTTTTCTTTTTTCTTGCTTCCCTTAGGGCCTTTTCTTTATCTGTGACCTTCAGGAACTTGATTATTAAATGCTTGTTTCAATTAAATCTGCTTGGTGTCTATGACCTTCTTGTACCTGAATATTGATGTCTTTCTTTAGGTTTGGGAAGTTCTTTGTTATTTCTTTGAATAAACTTTCTACCATGATCTCTCTCTCTCTCTCTTTACCTCCTCTTTAAGGTCCCAGTAACTCTTAGATTTGCCCTTTTGAGGCTATTTTCTAGATCTTGTAGGCATGCTTTATTCTTATTCTTTTTTTTTTCTCTTCTGACTGTGTATTTTCAAATAGCCTGTCTTCAAGCTCAACAATTCTTTCTTCTGCTTGGTCAATTCTGCTGTTGAGAGACTCTGATGCATTTCTCAGTTTGTCAGTTCAACCGTTAAGCTCTACAATTTATGTTTGATTTTTTTTTATTATTTCAATCTCTTCATTAAATTTCTCTGGTAGGCTTCTGAATTCCTTCTCTGTGTTGTCTTGAAGTTCATTGATGTTCAGGGCAGCTATTTTGAATTCTTTGTCTGAAAGGTCCTATATCTCCAGGATTAATCACTGGTACTTGATTTAGTTTGTTTGGTGATGTCATGTTTTCCTGCATGTTCTTCATGCTTGTGGATGTTCATTGAAGGTTAGGTATTTATTTTAGTCTTCCCAATCGATCTTGTTTTTTTTTTTTGAGACAGAGTCTCACTGTGTTGCCCAGGCTAGAGTGCCGTGGCGTCATCCTAGCTCACAGCAAACTCAAACTCCTGGGCTCAAGCAATCCTTCTGCCTCAGCCTCCCAAGTAGCTGGGACTACAGGCATGTGCCACCATGCCCAGCTAATTTTTTCTATGTATTTTTAGTTGTACGATTAATTTCTTTCCATTTTTAGTAGAGATGGGGTCTCGCTCTTGCTCAGGCTGGTTTCGAACTCCTGAGCTCAAACAATCTGCCCGCCTCGGCCTCCCAGAGGGCTAGGATTACAGGCGTGAGCCACCGCGCCTGGCCCCCAATCAATCTTGTTTGAACCCATCCTTCTTGGGAAGGCTTTCCAGATATTCACAGGGAATTGAGTGTTGTGATCTAAGTCTTTGGTCATTGCAGCCGTGTCAGCACTGGGGTGCCCCAAGTGTAGTAATGACTCTCATAGACTCCTAGCTGTACTGCCTTGGTGAACTTGAGTAAGATATGGGTGAATTCCCTGGATTATCAGGCAAAGTCTCTCACTCTCTTCCCTCTCTCTGTGTGCGGGGGCGGGAGGAGGCTGTAGAAATTGAGGGAGGAGTGACGTAGGCACTCCCTCATGACCAACAGCACCAGGTCACTCCGGAAGCCATCGCAGTCTCACCCAAAGTCCATGGTGACTGCTGCCTGGCTACATCTGATGTTTATTCAAAGCCCAAGGGCTCTTTAGTCAGTAGGTGGTGAATCCTGCCAGGACTGAGTCCTTCCCTTCAAGGTAGCATGTTTCCTTCTGGCCCAGGGTGGGTCCAGAAATGCCTCCCAGGAACTAAGGCCCGGACTCAGGAGCTTCAGGAGTCTGTTTGGTACTTTGTTTTATTGTGGATGAGCTGGTACCCAAAACAAAGTCCTCCGAACTTTTCCCTTTCCTTTCCCAAAGTGCAAGAAGACTCTCCCTGAGCCGTGTTGCTGTAGCTGGGGCTTAATGAGATGGGCACGGGCTTGGCCGCAGCTGCTCCTGTCTCACTGGGTCCACGCACCTCAAGTTGGCTGACTTGGAGGCAGCACAGCCACAGGAATTGACCAAGGACTGCAGCCTTTTTGGCCTGACTGCTTTAGGAATTTAGTCCAGGCCCCAGGCTGCTTTTGTCAGGTGGTGGCGGTGCTGGCTGGAACTCAGGTTTCAGGGCATAGGATTTCCCTCTGGCTGGGCTGTTCTAAATGCTCCCTGCACGGGCACTGGCAGAATTCTGCCCTGTGCTGTGTTCCCCTGTACCAGGGCTGCCCTAAGTTTCAATGCAAAGTCCCACAATCACTTCAGTCTCTCTCCCCTGGACACACAGATTCTCTCTCCACTCAGCGTGCCTGTGTGTCACTGCCGGGGTAGGGGGGTGGGGTGGCGTAGGCAATGCAACGTTGTCTTTACTTGCCTCTTCAGTCCCTCTTGCCTTTATATAATGTTAAAACCAGCCAGCATGATCGCTCACCTGATTTTTGGTTCTTCTAATAAGGCTTGTGTGGACAGTTGTTGAATTTGGTGTTTTGGGGAAGGGATGATTTTTGGAGGTATCTGTTTGGCCGTCTTGCTCCACCTACCCTCACAGTGCATTTCTTAGAATGTATCCCTGTCAGTAAGCGACACGTGACCGTACTCAATTCTAAGTGCTACCAGATTTGTTTTTGTACAATTTGATTTTATGAATACATTTTTAAAATTTACAAGTTTATTGAAGTATAATTTACATATCATAAAATCCATCTCCATCTGCCATATAATTCAGTGATTTTTGATCAGTTCATCAAATATGCAGCCATCACCATAATCCATTTTTAGAAAATTTTCATCAGCACAGTAAGATCCCTCATGGACCTTGAAGCCTATGCAACCGCTAATTTTCTGTCTCTGTAGATTTGCCTTTTCTGGATATTTCATATAATAAAAACACATTTATCTGATGAACAACCTGTGGAGTTTAATGTACAATATATAGTATAACATTTTTCCTATAAATCTTTATATATTTACTTTCAAATTATAGACTCTTCTGAATTCCAGTTATTAAATATGTCTGTAAAGCCTCTGGTATGGAAATTGAAACCATAATAAGACACCAAAAATTTATTATTTTGATTATGATTATTATTGTTATTATGATTAATAATGATAATGCCTGCCTTATATTGTAGAAGCTTCAGTTTTTCAGCACAGGAGAACAGAAACATTTAATTTCTTGATGTCTTTCAGACTCAGGGTCTAAGAAGTTACCTCCAAATCACTGCAACAAATCTGGGCAAAGCAGCTCTCAGAAACCAGTTTCTGCACAACAGAAAGTTCCCACAGGAAAGAAGGGCTGCAACAAAAATTCAGTCCTAATAAAACACAAGAAAGGGCATTCAGGGAAGAAATCTTTAAAATGTAATGACTGTGGGAAAACCTTTAGTCAAACCTTGTCTCTTAAACTTCATCAGAACACTCATACTGGGGAACGGCCTTACGAATGCAGTAATTGTAGAAAAGTTTTCAGACAGGTTTCATCCCTCATTCTTCATCGGAGAATTCACAAGGGAAAGAAAAGCCATGAATGCGATAAATGTGGGAAAAGGTTCAATCAGAGAACAACCCTAATTCTACATGGGAGAATTCATGATAAAAAGGAAACCTATGAGTGTCGGAGGCCCTCGAGTCAATGCCCCTCTGTTGGTGTACACGAGAAAATTCACATTATCGAGAATGTCCACCAGTGCAAAAAATGTGGGAAAGCCTTTAGTCAGATGTCATCCCTTTTACTTCACAAGAGAATTCACAGTGGAAAGAAAAAATATAAATGCAAGCAATGCAGGAGAAGCTTCAAAAAGAAATCAGTCTTTGTGATACATAAAAGAATTCATACTAGGGAGAAAACCCCTGAAAGTGAGAAGGCCTTAAGTAAGAGTCTACAGCAGAGGCGTTCCCATCTACAGAATCCTTATAAATGCAGAAAATGTGGGAAATTCTTTAATAGAATTTCACCCCTTATGCTTCATCAGAGAATTCACACTTCAAAGAAACCCTACAAATGTGATAAATGTAAGAAGATCTTCAGGCGACTTTCAACCCTTATTCTGCATCTAAGAATTCACAATGGAAAGAAACGCTACAGATGCAATAAATGTGAGAAGGTCTGTAATCGGTATTCATCCCTCATTCAACACCAGAAAGTTCATGCAAAGAAAAAGAAACGGTTTGAGTGTAAGGAATGTGGAAAGATGTTTTCTGGAACTGCAAACCTTAAAATACATCAGAATATTCATTCTGAAGACAAACCTTTCAAGTGTAATAAATGTAGTAAAGTTTTTGGCCGCCAGTCATTTCTTATTGAACATCAGAGAATTCATACGGGAGAAAAACCCTATCAGTGTGAGGAATGTGGGAAGGCCTTCAGTCACCGAATATCTCTTACTCGACATAAGAGAATTCACACCGAAGACAGACCCTACGAATGTGATCAGTGTGGGAAGGCCTTCAGCCAGAGTGCACACCTTGCCCAACATGAAAGAATTCACACTGGAGAGAAGCCGTATACGTGTAAAACATGCGGGAAAGCCTTTAGTCAGCGCACATCCCTTATTCTACACGAAAGAAGTCATACTGGAGAGAAACCCTATGAATGTAATGAATGTGGGAAGGCATTTAGCAGTGGCTCCGACCTTATCCGACATCAGAGAAGTCATTCTTCAGAGAAACCCTATGAGTGTAGTAAATGTGGGAAGGCATACAGTCGGAGCTCCTCCCTGATTCGACACCAGAATACACATTCTGAAGAAAAACCCTAAGGTTGTTTTAAATCTATAAAAATGAAGAATGAGGCTATCAAAGAGGCAGAGGTATGGGGAAAATGTATTTATCTATAAAATAAATTTTGTCTATATGGGACCATTTCATGGTGCGTCCCACTTTAAGAGACAGAAAGCAAAAGTCATTCATGACTTTTGACCTCAGGATTTGAAATTGTCCACAGCAAGTCCAGAATATTGGATTATTCATTGTGAGTGAAGACCATTTTTCACTTGATAAGAATTACTAATATCTTACTTCCAGTGTAGTTTTAAAGATACTTCATTCGTCACGTACAACAAAGTAGAATTGTGAAGTCCATTTTTATGAGTGGGGCTTTTGAGCCTCATTTGACGTCACTTGAAGAAACTTTTGAGTCTGTTCCTCAGAGCTAGACATATCAAATAGAAGGGTCTTCCTGGCAAAATAGGGTGCCACTTTCAGCTGACAGAAACTTGTGGTTGAGAATAAATAAGAATGAGTCTTCAGGTAGATGAAGACATCATTCATAATGGTGTGTAGCAGTAGAGTTCTTCCCATACTGTCTCCATGTTTAGGATGATATATAATCTTCATGATGTGAAAATCTAACATGGCTGAGACAGGCTAACAGAAAAAGAACCAGGATATCCTGCAGAACAAGGAACTTCAGAGCCGACAGAAATTGTGAATGTTTTCTTTGAAGATAAATCGTCTATATTTATATGAAGAAACATTGATATTTTCATGTAATAGTACTTGTGTGCAATAAGTGATTGCTGAAATATAAATTCTTATGGACTGAATGTTTGTGTCCCCCAAAGATTTATATGTTGAAGCCCTAACCCCCAATGTAATGTTATTTGTAAATCAGGCCTATGGGAGGCAATTAATGTTCAATGAGGTCATGAGGGTGGGGTCCTCATGATGGGATTAGTGCCTTTATAAGAGGGAACATCAGAGAGCTTGCCCTCTGTGTGCCACGTGAGGACACAGCAAGAAAGCAGCTGTCTGCAAATCAGGAAGACAGTCCTCTCCAGAACCTGACATCGTGGACTTCCAGGCTCCAGAACTGTGAGAAGTACATTCCTGTTGCTTAAGCCACCCAGTCTGTGGTATTTGTTATGGCAGGCAGAGCTAATACATGGGGGAAACCCTAGATTTGTATACTGAGCTCTTTTCCTGTCAGCTGTTCACCATACGTGGTAGCTTTGAGTCCCTCTTTCTTATTTGTGCCAAATATGTAAGAAATAAAATCAAGAGTTCTGTGAGAGTTCGGCTCTTCTGTGTTAGTTTTCCTTCTGTAAGAGCTATTTTGTGAACACCTGTATCTTGTTAAGATGACTTCATGGAGTATATGATCACATGGGCTAGGTCATTCTAACTTTGACCACAACTGAGAAAACAACAACCAGAACTGTGAGGTGTGAGCATGCATGCATGATACTAGAACAACCAATTTCCCATTTAAACTTGTCCTTAAGATCTGTAAAGTAAGCATGAAAAGAATCTCGACCACTTGGAGCAAATGCGTGAGCAAACAGTACAGAGAAGGCTCGTGGAGAGGCATGTCTTTTCTCCCTCCCCTTCTACACACATCATCTACTTTGTTAATTCCTCTGCCGACCTGCTGTAGATGTTGGTTCCAGATCAGTGGTGACACAGTCACACCTGAAGAGTGGGGAGGAACAGAGGATGCCCTGCCCACAGTCACCTATTTCCTCAGTCTTAGCTCATTGCCTATTGCATTTCTTGTCCCTTTGGGGGATTAAAAGAGTGCATGAGGATGGCAGTACACTGTAATAGAAAATCTAACATGGAATTGATTGTGAGAATGGCTTATCTTTGCTGCCTTATTTTTTACCTAGTCAGAAATCCTCACTTCATCTCATTTGCACATTCCCTCACAACTCCTTTTCTTCAGCTCTTAGAGACATCTGTGAGGGTGTTGTAAAGGTAAAGTAACTCCAGGCTCATGTGTGTTCCCAACTACTAGGAACTCAATTATTTTCTAAAGGAATGAAACCATTATTATCAATTTTAATTCTTTTGTATTATGTGAGTTTTAAAAATAGCATCCAAACTAAGAAGAAAGTCAAGGGTGTTTTTTGAAATCCTGAAACTTAACTGACCAAAAATAATGTTTTATCACTAGACTGGTGTAGGAGAGCCCATAATGGAAACATTTTACTTTTAAGGGATGCCTATGGATTTGTAGGTCTCCTTTAGCAAACATTTCACCTGAACATTTAAAGAAAAGAATTTTTTTTTTAACAGATGGGGGTCTCACTATGTTGCCCAGGCTGGTCTTGAACTCTTGGCTTCAAGCGATCCTCTTGTCCTGGCCTCCCAAAATGCTGGGGGTCACAGGCATGAGCCACCACCATGCCTGGCATCATGTGCACATTTGTTGTGCATGTACCTACCATGAACCAATCACTGGTAAACCTCAGGGATATATAAACCTATAAGACACTGTTCTTGCCCACAGGCACATACAGTTTACCAGGGAATACAAGTTAATAAAATACAGAAATATGTATAAGATGTACAGGTAGCACAGAGAAGAGGATGATAAAATCCATAGTGATGGACAATTTGGGGATTGCTTTTTGGAGGTGGTAATTAATACTGTTACCTATTATACTAAAGGAATAACAAGAATTTACTAGGCATACAAAGTTGGAAGGCTATTAATGACAAATAGAAATGTACAGATGCATAAAATAATGACAGAATGTAGAGTATCTGGGGAGTTAAAATTTCTAGCATTTAGTATGGTGACTAACACATAGTTAAGTGGTAAATACTCAATAATATTTGAATGAATTATTAAATAAAATATTTTAGTACAGCTGGACTGTCTCTGAGGCATAATCCAAAGGTAACACTTAAACCTGAAGGTAACCTAAACATTGAGATTAACTCTTGTTAAACTAGGTTAATCTCTTGTGAAAACTAGCCCTCACCCTAAAAACAAGGAATCACTAGTGGTATTTGGAGCCTGTGGTGAATTTATGTTAACCATAGCAACAACAAACTTTAAACCTACTCAATTCTTAGCTATATTACTGCAAGCCCTCCCCATACATTAAAGGCTCAATAGAAGGAAAGACTTGCTCTTTCCAGTAATTAAATCTGTTTACTTCTGTTTCTACTGTCCTACAAAAGATATCTACCTTTCAGGATGAAAAAACCCCACAAAGACAAGGCATACAAAAATGTAAGAAAAATTAACACCTTCCCACCCCCCACCCACCAAGAAACAGCAGGCCTCATAACTAGATTCAGAAATAATATAGCTGTTGGTTATTCTGACATGGAATTTAAAATATGAATAATATGTTAAAGATTCTAATGGAAAAGGTACACAACAGCCAGGATTAGATGGGAAATTTGAACAGAGGGAAACTATAAGAAACAATCAAATGGAAATACTAGAAATGAAAAACACAGTAAGCAGATGAACAATGTCTCCAACAGGTTCATCAATATCCTTGACACAGCCAAGGAAAGAATAAGTGAACTTGAAGACAGGTCAATAAAAATTACCCAAACTGAAACATGAGGGTGGGAGGAGCAGTGACAAAAAGAACAGAGAATCCAAGAGCTGTGTGTAAATAGCCATTGATTCAACACACATAAATTGAATCCCAGGAGGCATAGAGAGAGTAACTGGGGCAGAAGAAATATTTGAAGAAGTAATGGCTAATAAGTTTCCAAAATTAATGACCCCACAACAAAAATCTATGAAGCTTGGAGAACACCAAGAGAAATAAATACTAGAAGTGCACACACACACACACCCCTAGACATACCATTTTCAAACTGCCAAAGACAGAAAATTTTGAAGGAAGGCAGTGGGGAGGGGGAGTCATTACATATAGAGGAACAAAGATAAGAAAGAATTAGAGCAGAATTATCAGAAACACTGCAAGCCAGACAACTATGTAATAACACCTTTAAAGTGCTGAAAGAAAAAAACCTGTCTTCATAGAATAGTTCATGGAAATACCTTTCAAATTGATAGAGAAATGAAGACTTTCTGACAGAAACAAAACTGAGAGAATATATTGTCAGAAGACCTACTCTATAAGAAATGTTAAATGAGTTCTTCAAGCAGAAGGAATATGTAACACAACAGATACTTGGAGATACACAAAGAAATGAAG